CAGTTAACAAAATTGTTTCATTGCGTAATATAGTTCAGTATATATACATAAATAACATGACGTTAAATTAAAATTATTTTACATAAAAGATTTACTAAAATTAATTTACTAGCATCTTTAGTGGCATCCAGCAACTTATGTATAATAGAGAAACAATAATCCTTTATTAAAGTGATTCATAGCATATCAAACTACTATACAAATTTGCCAAAATGCTAGCTATTTTATATTTCTAATTAAAGCAACGAATAAATTAATTTTTTTTTACTATTATGGCAATACGAATCAATAGTAAATGCAGTTCCTATTATTATATAATGCTATATATTAAATGGTTAAGATTCCTGGTTTAAAGATATTTCACTAATTTATATTTTAATAAGCAAATTATCAGCATTTTATTAAGAATAAATAGATAACTGATAAATATGTGACTTTATGTCACCGATCTATGTCAAGTTGTATAAATTTTGTAAAGTTTGTATTTGATAAATTTAATTGTTAGGGCACGAGTTATACAATATGTGAAAGTTATTATTTCAACGCAAACGTGACACAAGAAAAGTTTTTAGATTGTTTTTTAACAATGCATAATACAACTGCAATGAGGAACCAGGAACCTTAACGATATCGAATGATTACAATCGCTTTTATAATACAATCGAATTGCCGTATCCTTGATTTTTAACGCCGAAATCGAACAATTTACACACAATCTTCTTAACGCTTCTTTTTTAACATTTATATAATTATATTTGTTACTTAGCATAAAATAAAAATATTGTTATACATAAATTACGATCAGAATATTTTTGCACATATGCCAAGTGGGATAAAAGTGAAAACTGAGAAAACATGTTAAAAATAGAGAGATTATTTGATCTTATCGTATTATAAAAATACAAAGATTTGAAGATTAGTCAATTTCATCTATTCTAGAGAGATTTCTCATTGCGATTAAGCATATTTTCTATTCTAAGCTTTTCTTTCATTCTCATTTTTATTCTAAGTGGCATATATGCTGGATAAAAATATTGCATATTTTACCTTTCATTTTAAGTATACGATCATGTGTTGAACGTAAGTAAAAGAAAAGAATAATAAGAAGAGAACATGAATTTAGAGGAAGTCAACTGAATTAGGAAAACTTAAAATTAGCAATTTTACCACAAAAGAATAATACACTGCCATTTAAGCAGAAAGTAATGAGTATCCGTATGAGATTATTCGTAACAGACAACCATTAGCATCATTTTTTTAGAAGAATGAATTGTTCTTTTTTATACTGTTGACTAAATATTTCATAAAAATGAGAAACACACGATGGAAGGCTTTGTCCAGTGTTTCTGACATCAGTACTTGATATAATGTTACATTTGTGTTACATATTTCTGCTGTCGCAATGTGACAACAGAAAATTAGATTTCTAACTAGACTTTACAGTCATGAGGTCATGTTACATTTACTTTCGCAAGATAAACGTTCTAATCATTATTTGCCACTATTATTTGGTGCTTCGACTTAACACGAAGTTAATTGTGATGATATACCGATGATATCAAGTTGCCTTCAATTTGCAGTCAATAAGTTGTTAATCACGAGTTGTTGCCAAATTACAAATCATTTTATTGCGAGTAGTAAATCGATGCTAACATGATGCCATCACAATAAGCAAAATTTCTATCACATTTTTGTTATCATAATGCTAATAAATTGTTATTACGTTACTGTTACCATAATGCTAACAATTGTTGTCATTACGTTACGCTGGTATCATATTTTTTTCTAAAAAAATAAATATTAATCATTAACAAAACAAGCTCTTTTTTGCCAATTTCCTTTTGAAAATCGAAAAAATATATATGTTTACATTTCTATGTATACATTCCTCTCTCTAAAAGTCATCAAAATTTTAGAGTGATTAACTGGAAATTCGACCAAAAGTCGGAGATTCGTCCAAAGGCTAGTCTTCCCCCAAAAACCGGGAATTTGTGGTTGCTATCAATTTGCCATTAGAATTTAGGAACGTGTGAGTTCAATGCGACAGCTTTAATGCTGTCTCACTTTGTCTTGAGAAAGAAAAAAATTAGTTGCTTCAATGATTATTAGCAACATGACAGCAACCTCATAGCATTCGGCTATCTGCGAAGCATTAGAGTACAGAATCAAAATATAATGACAGTGTGACATGATATGTGTTTTTAGTAAGACGTCATTAAAATGACTTATATTTATATACTTGTATGACATATAATTGTCATGTTTGTTCATTTGACGTATAAGTATGAACATGTATTCGACGTCCAAATGGTGTGTCAAAATTTGCTACCTGGACAAGGCAACACCTTCCGGAAACGCGTTAACAAAGAGAAGAACGTAAGATGGAATTACCAATTAGAGAACTTGATAATCAGTATATCACCAATGAGTGCATAAAACTGCTAATGACAAAAAGTTCTGTCAGTTATGTACATACATATTAAATATTAAATAACTGATGTATCAATTTATCAAATGACTTTAGTTTCTATCTCGTACTTTTTTCCTTGTCAATGCGTTTTCATGTATTTAATTCTTATTTTGTTATAAAACATTTAACAATGACATCAAAGAAGACATCTTAAAAACAATGTTATTTAGATAAATTCGTGATTAAAAAACAAAAGCATTTTATAAATATAATCATCTTATAAATATAATGATGTAATCAACATTCTATCATTAAATTTATAGAAATAGTCATACAATAGCAATATGCAGTTATGCGAAATAAAGCGTAATATAATAAAATAAATGATCTTTCTGTAACAATGATTGAAAACAGTAATATAATATTCTATTTTGTGTAAATGATCATTTTCAAGGAAATCCACTTTGAAAATATATGAAATATGTAGTTAAATATAATTTAATATATTCGTCTATTACTTGGTTAGTGTTTATAAACATTGATAACAGTATGATACACTTTCCATTAATTCTATTATCTTGTTTAATTCTTAGTATATATTAAGTTATCACAGTGACATGCAAGAGAGAAAAGAAGAGAAGTAAAGAGTGAGAAAGTGAAAATAAGGAAAGAAGAAAATAAGGGGGGAGAGAGAGGGAGAGAGAGGGAGAGAGAGAGAGAGAGAGAGAGAATGTTATGTACACGTAGGTAAGTTTGTGAATAACAATTATTTCGTGCTAATAAATAAGTATTAATAAAGTAATTTTCCAATCGCCATGATTGAAGAAAAAT